GCCCTTTGTGCCTCAACGGACTTCCGCCTCGCGCCATGAGACAGACATACACAACACCCCGGAATGAATTAGGGTTCAAAACCGAAGGGACGTAACCTGAGTCTGTAGCTGTTATTGTCGATTGAATTCCACCTGACCCTGAAGTATCGTGCCTAGATACATACGAAAAATCAATGAAATTAAATGCTAACACGTCAAACTATTAAGATCAAGCGGGCACTGACTTACGAGTTACGAGGAGCACAAATACGCCTTGACTTGCTGTCTCACAATTTTTTCTTTTAATCCTACTATCGCAATCCTATATGCAGGGCTGATAGATTTAATACAAAAGTAAGCTAGCAACAGAAACACAATACACTGCGCGGTGTTTATGTGCTGGTCCGAAGATGCTCTCGGCTGCTTTCATTTCAGTAAGATGTGTATGTATGTACACAGTTCACCATGCAGTAGTGCTCTCACCGCCTCCGTTCTGGTAGCAGAGGTAGGGGAACCGCCAGATGTTTCCCAAACCGACCGCGTACGACAGACAGGACAGCAGGAACTCCAGCTGGGAGCCCCAGGTGCCGCGCCGGCTGGAGTCGGCCTGTTCCTCATCCCGAGGAGGCGCCTCCTCGGTGTCCGGGTGCCGTCGGATGGCCGAGGGGTCGGCGCTCGGCAGTTCCTGTGGTATATACGGTGGAACGGACAGGGACTTTCAGCAGGGACGGGTGCTCTATGCAGGGGCGTAGGTAGGGGGGGGGGCCACTGGGCCATGCCCCCCTCCCTTGGGCGCCGAAGGCGCCCTCCAATCGCAAATGCAATTGTGATATAATCGAATCGAAAAACAATCGCGACTGGAGGGCGCCTCCAATCGCGAATGTGTTTACAGGGAAAATACGGATGGAGGGCGCCCTCGGAGGACGCCCATTCCAAATACGCCCTCCAAATACGGTTGGAAGGCTCCCTCGGGCGCCCTCCAACCACATTTGTAGGCTGTAGCTCTCTAAGCGTAACGGTGGTCGCCTATGTAAGCCGCTGTCCTGTAAATAAGCGCCCTCTCACCCGAAGGCGCCCTCCTGTAGGTCGCCACCCTGCTACACATTGCCGCCCTTCTGCTGATCGGCGTCCTCATAATTATTGGCGCTCTCCTACCTATTGAGCCTTCATGTGAAATTTTGAAGGCCGCCTTTCTCCCTTTTGGCACCCTCTTGTTCAGTGCCGCCCTCCTACCTATTGGTTCCCTAGTCCTTCCTGTTGAATGTTAATCGGGGCCCTTCTCCTATTGGCGCCCTCGTGTAGATCGCCGCCCTCCTAACCACTGGCACCCTCCTGTTGATCACCGCCCTCCTATCCACTGGCACCTTCCTGTTGACCAGCGCCCTCCGCACAGACGCCCTCCTGTTCGTGTCATCCTCTTGAGCAAAGGCGCCCTCCTCACCATTGCCACCCCCATTTTAATCGTCACCCTTCCGCTCATTGGCGACTTCCAGTTGATGACCGCCCTCCCACCTATTGGCGACCTCTTGTTGATCGCCCCCTCCTATTGGTGCTCTCCTGTTCCTCGCCACCCTCTTACCTGGTGGCGCCCTCCTGTTGATTGTTGATCGGCGCCCTCCTACCTATTGGTGCCCTCCTGTTGATCGCTGCCCTTCTATCCATTGGCGCCCTCCTGCTGCTCGCCAACTTCCTACCTATCGGTGCCCTACTGTCGAAACTCGGGATGTTGATCGGGGCTTCTACCTATTAGTGCCCTCCTGTGGATCGCAGCCCTTCTACCTATTGGCAACATCCGTTGATCGCTGCCCTCCTATCATTTATTTACTCCTTTGGCATGTTTTTCAACTTAGTCGTTCTATTGCACATAGTTGATGTCTTGCCTGTGAAAACTGCCACAAATGAACGTGCATTCAGCACAATGAATGAAGTATCTATACCTACCAAAACTATCTACGCTCTACGATGCATAAAACACGTCTTTGGTCTTAACGGATTGATCCTACTTTACGTGCATCATGGCATCTATATGGATTACGATTAAGTATTGTCAACAGGTTCGGGCGCAACAGCAGGCATCTGAAGTTTCGGTGATTGAAACTGGTTATGTGGGTACACTGTATGCATCTGTGAGAAGGCTATGAAGGCTGGTCTGAGGTAATTTGGATGATGTTTACGCATCTCGCGCTCCGGTATCAATCCGATACGGTGATCTGGTGCGTAGATATGCCACCGCCAATAAACTTTTATACATCGACACCCATGAGCCAAGCTTTCTGTACAGTTTGTGTGGCAGCGGCCCGACCAAACCTTAGGTATTTTTACACCTTCAAATTTGGTAAAAGAGCGAGAGGAGCTTTGAACAGTGATCGTATAAAAGGCGTGCCTAAAAAGCGGAGGAAAAGGTTGTTTTCAAAAATTTCGCGCGCCTTCGGCGCAGCATTTCAAGAACACTTGACCTTTTGTGACCTGGAGTATAAAGAATACACACGATGCAAAATCAATGCAGCACGACCTATACGAGGTTACGCAAAAAAAAAAACTGGTGGCATGGTAAAAAACGCCTCCCAACCCCCCAACCCCCACTGAACGATTTTTTATCTCGCGACCGTATGGCGCCCTCCTTGGGTGAGGTGGCGCCCTCCAAACCCTTGGCCCCCCCTTCGCGATTTTCTAAATACGCCGCTGGCTCTATGCGGAGTGCTGCCGATGATCGAGACGTGCTGGCCAGTGTCACTGATGGTAGTGCCTAGAGATTGGACTTGGTCTCAAACGTAACATGTAGGAGTACGTTTTCTTAATAAATTTGTCATGCATATCTTTGGTTTCAAAATTGAGAACGAATGCTCTAGGAATCTGTGATTAGCCGCATAGAATGGCGTGATTTTGGAGAGCTTTTAGATGGTTTGAAATGTATTGAAATGTGGTACTGAAAGCTTGGTTTGATGCTGTTGTGCTCATAAATTTTACAACATTACAAATGCTGAATCAAACGCAGCACGCGCTCATTATTGTTATCGGATGTGAATTTCCATAACATAGCAATGTCTGGCATCAGGCATGCTATAGAACGCTTTCCATCAACCTATCAGCTGCCGTGAAAAACATATAGCGCCTGAATATAGTTTGAACTTCCGATTAGATGCTTAGTTCGGTTGAATTCGGTAGATATGATTCGGTTAGACACTTATGTTTCAGAATACCTATCAAAAAATACTTTTCGTAGAAGGTGAAATGCAGTTAAAAAGCTAAAAAAAAGATCATAATTTTCAATCAATAATTGATTCACGATGTAATCAACAAGAATAAAAAAGCAACAACCTTTGCATATCTTCTAATTATTTTTGAGGAGTTTTTACATGCAATTCGATTTATTGCACCTATAGTTATAAGTGCAACACGGCACACGCTCTACCTATTGTTTTTGTTTCGCTCTGCTGCTGGACATCTCACCGTCTGGTCGCGTTGACCTGCGCTCCGCTCCGTCGCTATCACGGTCGCAGCGACCTCCATTGTGCTGTGGGGCGCGGTAGCTCGGCAGAACGGGCCAATGCGTGTGCGATCACCGCGCTACTGTGACAAACACTGATGGACGACCCATCCAGACCTCCAATGGGAGTGGTGCGCACCGGGTTCATTTGTGTGACGTCACAGAGCCCGGGGGCCTGGCTGCCAGTGGGTGACGGACATATGTACGGTGACCGACGCGTCGTGCTGTGTGACCGTTGTCAGCCGCTGAGGACCCCTGCCCCAGCGCTGGGAGAAATTCCAGCTCCTGTCACAACCCGACACGGCCTGGAAAACGTCAGTGCGACACTGGACATTGACGAGCTACGGATAAAAACGGCCTATGGCGTCAAACAGCGTTTTTACGAAACGGTGCCATTTTGTTTACCATCTTTACCAGTCGGTGACGGGGTGCCATTGGCATTAACAGCAGTGGAAGGAGAGGACTGTGTAATGTGTATTCCCCGAAAGTCCAGTTTGGCAGAATGGGTGGCAATGCTCGAGTTTTGCTATACACGGCTTTTGCTCAGCGGACGGTAGCACCCAGGGTCAGACAGTTTAGATGAGCTGGGGGCGTGTCCAAATAACATTCATCAGAATTACAGCCGGCAGCTGGAGTTTCCAGACCTCCAAGCGTTAGCTGTAGGGTCTGGGGACCTGCTCAATAAAGATTATATGTGGCTATGACCATGAGCTGCGCTGAAGAAAGGGGTTGTTGACCTCATTCAACGCGAGACACATCCTAATCCCTAATTCATCCCACATTGTCCCTCTTTGGGGTATCGGCTTGACTTTCCTTGTAAGTGGGCTTAAGGCCTTGTTGGCGATCTCTTCGATTGAATACATAAATGAAATAAATGAAGAAGTATGCGACTGCTAGCTATTCCTAAACAACTAATGCCAAGATATTGTATAAAGTCGTGATTTTTAATCACTTATTTTAATTTAATTGTGCGTGATGTTAGTTATTTCCACATCATTCGAGCAGAGTTAGTTTGCTGTCCTCGGAAAAGGCCCACGAAAGTTATCCGTCGCCGTTGACGAGTTACCGGACACCAATACCAGGGCCGTGTTATGCTGCGCTGGCCCGTGCGGCTGATGCCTGATACGACAGCCGGCCGGCCGGCACCCCTGAAAGGTATGCTGTGCCGCATGGTCGGCCGCCTCGGTACAGGCAAGGCGGTGGACGAGAAACAATGGGAAGACGCTACAGAGAAACGTTATCTCCGAGTGACGTATGTCCTGAGAGCCGCAGCAATCGACAGCACTGATGTCAGAGCGTTGAGAGAGGGACTGTTTGACGTTTCGTTGACGGAACTGCAGTGGGAGGCGCTGTGAGTAGTGGCTTCAGCTCTTCGCTACTAAACTAACTATGTAGTGACTCGCGAGAGAATAGGAACAAAACTGAGACGTCCAGCCCTTGTTGCAGGCCGGCCGATGGGTATCAGCTCCACGTGGTCATTCATCTGCTGTTCACGAGCAATTAAAAAGGCACCCGGAAGTTTGGACTCCAGCCGTGCATAAGCTAAACAGTGTCCGATTTCAATTACGATTTTACCAGATCTAGTGGATGACTATCAATTAGGATTTAGGTGGTTTTCCACTTCCACACCCACACACCGACATGGTTTACATGATAACAACAATCAGAAATGCGGAAAACGAAGTTCCAATCAATTTTAGCGTTTTTATTCTTATAATAATATTACATACGATATATATCAATAAAATACTTGATAATTAACAACGCTATTGCAGCTGCAAGTTTTAGAATTCAGAGAACAGTTTTCTCTGGTAAAAAAAAAACATTTTTTAATGAAATATCAGCAGGCAATGGAGCTAGGGTGGTTTTTATTTTCCCGTTTCAGTGATAGCAATACATTAGGTCGGTCGGTTGGTCGGTATGTATAGGTCGGTGTGTGCAATTTTCACAATGATACTTGATAAGCTACTTAACATAGAGAATAAATATGATATAATATAAAGAATAAAGCCAAAGACAGAAATGAAGTCGTATTCTTGTATGTGCGTGTTTGCATTGTTTCTTTTTACCAAAAGGCACTGATAAACTCAATGTGACGAAACGCGCCTACCCAAATGTGCTGTGTTGCCCATCTCAATGCATACAAAATAAACTTTGGAAGGCTCAGTGCCAGTAGGCTGTGCAGGATAAAGCCCTTTTGCTCAAAAATCACTTAGCCATATGATTTAACGGGCTCCCATACGGCCATTCGGTCACGGACGCGCGGTATCGGGCGACCGTTTATGTGAGTGAACCGCTCACTGAGCACAGTGTGGGGGCTGTTCTTCCACCGGGTGCTACCCACCATGTATACTCTGACATGAAGTGACGGAGAGGATGCCAGGTGAAATCTGTCACCTCGGGAACTTTAACCCGCGCCCCACTGGGGGAGGGGGAGCGGCAGAATCTGCTCCCTCCCGTTTTTCGACAATAACTTCTAAACGCGTTTCGCCAGCGACGTCAAACTTTCAGTACCTTATCATACATCAATTTAAGACGTTGTGTGAAAATTTGAGCGAAATCCGTCGGATTTTTTTTTTGGAGAAAATGACGTTTTAGAGACGTCATGTTCGTCGCCATTTTCGCCTAAAAAACGGCAAAATTTCAAACGCCGCTAACATCTTCATTTTTAAAGGAATCAAGACGTAACAAAAAGGTTACACGTGATTTTACTTTGCCTATCAAATGGCAATCTCGGTTTTTTGAAAATTTTGAATTTTGGCCCAACTTTTTTTTTCTAAAAAAACTGACTTTTTTGGGAAAATAATTATTAAATCTAAAATTTTGAGTGTATCGAAAAAACCGGAATATATGTCAGAGAAGTGGTCTGTGTGCACATATATGCCAATTTTAAGAAGAATCGGTTCAAAATGTGGGAATTATTTGAAATTTTATGACGTCACAACACACAACATTTTTGAAAAATGATTTTTTGGACGTTCTAGACCTCGTACGGAAACAAAAATAGAACCATTCGATTCGTCATGAAAAACTGCATCAGATAGACACCTTTTTAGGCCTTCAAAACCAACTTCAAAATTTGACCTCACTTGACCTGACCTTGACCTGACCTCGACCTGAAATTCATCCAAGTTGGTTCATATCACTTATGGAGTGTGCCTATTGAATTCTATGAATAAAATGACCTTTAAAACATGAAGAGCTTTCGATTGCCGTTTTCCCCGTCTTTCTACGACCATCGGTTCGGAAGTTAGACAGGGGGCAGAATCTGCCCCCCCCCCCCCCAGCAGGGCGCGTATGGCTGAATAGCCCAGCGGGGCGCGGGTTAACGGGCTCACCGCCAACGACGCAGCCAGTTTTTGCGTCTGTCTTATCCCATTCGCGGCCGATTGTGTCACGGTCTATGTAAAAAAGTGTTGTCATAAGCCGTGGACGAGCATCTTCAATACCTACCTATGTCAGAAATGCAGTTCATCTGTAAGTGCAACGCTGCAATCTGCGTGCCAACGAAAAATAGCGTTTAAATCTTGGTAAAATACTTAATTAGGCCGATGGGTGACATTATAGCTCATGGGCATGCTTTAGACATCAATCGGACCAACTGCGTCGCTGTCAGTCTGCCAAGATGTGTGGCTTTATGGCGGTTTTCTCCGGCGCTAGCCGGCTGACTAGACCTGACAGCCCTTGTCAGTTGTGACAGCCGATATCCCTGGCGCTGTCACCGTCCGAATGGTCACATGGCCGGGGTATTCTTAGAACCGAGAAAAAGCATGTTCCTTCATTTTATTATTTATATTGTTTTTATATAGACTAACTGTCCCCATGATTCTTCGTTACCTTGCCCCTACATGTAGGTAATATTATCCATGTTAGTTTATGCTGACTCTCACATGTGGTCATCAACTTTTCGAGCTCCTTTGACACACGCAGCTTCCTTGTAGGTGTGTGTTATGACAATGGGAAAGGACGAGGGATAAAAGCAACGAACCACCTGCAGTCAGCACTTGGTTTGGTGAAGAACCTGAGCTTATTGCGAACTGACAGCTCATACATTAACCCGCGACCAACTGGGCGGGGGAGGGGGGAGGGGTTCAGATCCGACCCCTTCCGTTTTTTCTGGAATAACTCACAAACCGCTTACGCTATTAACCCGCACCCCAATGGGGTCTGCGTATAACGCGCCCTCCTGGGGGGGGGGCTCTTCTTGACCTTAGGTCACGTGACCTAAGGTCAACTTTTGACATTTCGACCTTTCGAGGTCAACATACATATGTTTCGATGCGGATCGACGAGAGGATCACGATGGTGCTATTAGTTTGTTCCTAGTTGTGATGAGAAAAACTTCATATATATATATAGTGCCGCAATTTTGACTTCCTTTTTGCTCCTGTGACGTCATCTTTGACCTGACCTTAAATGGCCTCAGTAAAATTAAAGACCTTATCCGTGTGTACCCTGCACCGTTTACCGCTTGTCGCTATTTGTTTTATTCTCGAGATCTCGCTGTCGCTCCCGCTCGTAATAATGGACAGGTCATAAAAATGACCTGACCTGAGGTCAACGCAGGGCGATAGCCACTTTTTTATTTTCGCATATGAATGACAATTGATAAGGCTTTAATCGTCATCAGACAAAATTGCAACTTTCAGTGGGGAAAATATCAAGGTCACTCTTAAAAATAGGTCAAAAGGTCACGTGATCAAAATTTTCAAAAATTGAAAATCCGAGATAGCCAAAATGTTTGTTAGTTGATTGTGAGTTGAACCATATAAAGTTTTATCGTAGAAAACTAATAGTTTCTGAGTTATAGGCCGCCAAACATAGGGCTGCAGCGCGACCTCCAGGAATTGCCCGAGGCTATATCTCGGAAACCGTTGTTCGAAGAAAAAATTCTTGCCACAGCTGGCTTCCCCGCCCATCACATTACACCAGTTTTCAACGAAAAATAAAATATGAGGGTGCAAATTTAATTTTTTATTTGTCGATTTGTCGTGGAACGCCCCCTTAGTAAAAATTGTAGACCTTGCCCGTGCGTATCCGAACCGTTTACCGCTTGTCGCTATCTTGCTTCGGTC